CCCCCCCTCCAACCCTCTCCTATATATATACACTATACACTCCTTTTCCCTCTCTGAAAGCAAAACAAACAAACAAAACATCTTCACATACAAACATTCTTCGCCTTCTGTCTGAAAAAGAAAACATGCTTCAAATACAACCACCTCCCTCCTTCCCTCCTATTTCCCTAAAGCTTCCTTCACTTTCAAGGGAAACATTTTCTGATCCTTTGTTTCGCAAGAGTAGATCTTTCCTTTCCTTCCTACTTTTGTGACGTCAGCTTGTGACGTGGCGTGATGGTGGCACGCTCTTCTACCATTGGTTGCTTTATTTCCCGGCTTCTCTCTGATTGGCTGGTTTGAATTCTGTGGCCTTCAAAGCTTTGCTCACTGAGTCTTTTGACGTTGGAGCAGAAAAATCTTCCCTCTTTCTTTGTTTTCAGGAGTAAAATGAAGTTCAGATTCACGCTTCCATCCTTTTTTATTCTATCTATCTATCTATCTATTTTCGATTCAGCGTTCTTTCCACTGAGTTTGCTTCTCTAAGTTTCTCCACATGGTTGGTCCACACCACAGAACACCCTGTGTGGTCCACACAGCCAAAGTCGATGCAGCCAGCCTCCCAAATGGTCTACACGGAGTGGATGGAGCCACAGAGCGTGATCTATCAGTCATTGATCTATCAGTCATTGATCTATCAGTCATTGATCTATCAGTCATCTTCTTCTCTATACGTTCCATCTGTTTTCCCATTCCTTGCTTCACATTCTATATATTATACAACAGACTATCGTTTATGTAAGATTTTTTTTTTCAAAACGTAGGTACCTTTTTAGCGACGTTTGATCAAATAGGATTTTCGTTCCTTCCTTTTTGTTTGTTTGTCTGTCTGTCTGTTTGTTTGTTTGTTTGTTTGTTTGTCTGTTTGTTTGTTCAAAATGCATTATTATGAGAATGTGTCTGGCCATCCAGAATGTGTCATGCCCACACCACGGTCACAGATGTTTGTGCAGCTATTGCCTTCATAACTCACATTTCCCAGTTTCCTTTCAGTTACGTTTCTATGGCCATCAATAATACCACTGTATGTTGGTTCCTGTGTGGGTCAATGTATTCTAAATTTGTTACACATGACAAACTGGTATGCCATACTGACGTTCTTTTCAGAATAATTTATTGCTAATACTTCTGAATGTTTTCTTTTTTTTTCTTTTTTCATTTCGCCGCCACTTGAAACAACACCAACAATGTCATTCTTTGAGAATACACCCTTATCTGTCACAGTTAGGCGCATTTCTGTCATCGCCATCATCATCATCGTCTTCATCATCATCATCATCATCATCATGGAATCTATCATCAGCACTCTCGTTACATTCACCATCATCGTCGGAGCCCGCACCACTACTACTACCACCACCGTCATCATCATCATCACCATCATCATCTTCATCACCTTCATCATCATCATCATCATCATCATCATCATCATCATCATCCCAAATGCTACCACACTCACTACTTTTCCTACTTCTACCGCTACCATCACCACCAACACCACTACCACCCCCACTACCACCACCAA